AGTGGCCAAATGGCCACTAAGGAAAAAAGTTAACTTGGAGGGTTGCTTGTTTGTACCTTCAAAAACCAAGCAGCAAAAAGGCCCCTCCCCTTTCTTCAAGAAATCCATTGTCACATGTAAACTTCTCAATTTCATTTTTGAGGCCTTTCCTTGTCTTCACCGATCGAGCACAAGGCCCAAACTGAGAGAGAGAGAGAGAGCGGCAAGCACTCTCTTCTGACAAATGTGACAAAGAAAGAGTTGTGCCATCAGGCAGTCAGGATTCTGAAAACCTGCAATATTAAATGTTGCAGGTTTGCAACATTAAATGTTGCAGGTGTATTACCCCGTATGTGACCAACTTGTCTCACAGCAAATAAAATTTTTATTTGCTGCGAGGCAAGTTGGTCACACACGGGGTAATACACACAACAGTGGATTTCAACTTGCAATGCAACAATGTTGCAAGAAAAGTTAAAGGAAAATGTTGCCTGTATAACTGGACCTTAAGGTGACTGGGCCACAAATCCTTGCAAACAATTCAAACAAAACTAACAAATTCAAGTTAAAATGAGACAGGGACAAAACTCAAATCGGATCAACTTGAATTACTGATTTATATCCTATTCAATAATGAAATATTTATATGAATAACACTATTTGCTGCATTTTTTCCCTCCTTTTCATTGGTTGAGAACCTACTACATGACCTGCAAATAACTGCCTACAAATAACTGCTCATGTGTCATACTGTCTAAATGGCTGTTTTTATACTAGAGGATGCATTTTCCATCCAGAATGCGTCCTCACCATTTTTATACTAAAGACACATTATCCATCTGGACAAATGCGGGCAAACATCAGTAGCTTGTCTGGTTATGCCTCTCTAGTATATATAAAGATGGGCACAAGATGCATTATGCATCTAGACGAACTATCCTTCAAAATGCCTCTTGAATGACACAATAAGAGAGATATTTGTCTAGACGCATATGTCTTGTGCCCGTCTCTATAATAGAGACGCATAACCAGATGAACTACAAATGTTTGCCCAAGTTCGTCCAGAAGGATAATGCGACTTAGGTGTAAAAACGGCCAATGTTGTTTGCTGCAAATACGTCTTCTGGTAAGAAAGTTTCTTGTAACACATTCTAGGGGTAAAAATGACACATTGCTTCCCCGAGCTGTCAGAGTGAGTTTTAAAAATGTGAAAACAAACTCGGTAATGGAATGATAAAACAGTGATTATTGAACTCATTATCGCAAAAAGCCGTGATTTGTCAGTATCTCGCTGATCAATTATTTGCCTCAGTTTTCGGCTTCGACAAATAGTTGATCTGCTCGCCACTGACAAATCACGATATTTTGATCAAGCTCAACCAATAGTAATATTGTTAAAATTGTTTATGCCTCCTCGTTCTTGAAAACGCGCTTGAAAACAAAAACTTGTCCCTGCCTTCTAACTTCTTCAGCAGTAAATTAAATATTCTAATCTATGACTCAGCGTGGAGGAAGTTTGAAGATTGCTGCCCTGTTAATAATTCTCCCATAACATCCAGTGTACATGTAACTTTAGCAAACGTAAGCAGAAATGAACGAACAAAGCTCTTGTGTTTAAGAGACCTAGGACCTGAAATACTTGGCTCGAGAAAAACACAGTTAAAACTTATAACGGTTTTACAGCTTCCTCAATCAATTTCTGTCGAAAAATTCTGTTTTCAATCCCTCGCAAGCCAACCAACAAACATGTGAATTTTAGTTGACGCAAATACGCCAACTCCGACATGCGGGTTCAGCATCGTTGTAAACTTCATCTTGAAAGTCGAAAACTATGTAGAATATCACCAGTAACACACTTACCGGACAACTCTTTTAAATTATCATATCTGAAGAAGGTAGAAATGTACTCTAAACGAGAAACAGTCGCCAGAAATGCACGCCAGAAGATCTCAGCCACCCTGTTTACATAAAATGTCACGTTTGTTGTGACGAACTTGGTGACCTTTGATCTTACATTTTCCCGCGCTTTTCATAAGCCTGCACACGGGAATTGTCAGCGGGAACTCCTTGGAACTTCGGGCTCCTGGGGCCCATTTCTCGAAGGTCCCGAAAAGCCGTGGCAAAGTCTCAAACCTAAGACTACAGAGCTGTTTTATTCATGTATTCTAAATACGAACAGAGGTTCTCTTCATACAAGAAGTTTCAGGCGTATACAACTCTCTGTCTTTAAATACCGATTAACTAAAACTGGATTTTCGGGCCCGAAAAGATTCCGGGGCTTTCGAGAAACAGGCCCCAGATCGGCTTCATGTACTTTTTTCAACTAAAAAAGAAAATGTATTGATCATGTTAAAGATTCTTTAGAGAGATCATGGTCCCTTGACTGAAGAGATTCTGTAATTCCTACGATCTAAGACATCTAAACGCAAAACCTCACTCAGTGACGTCCTGAACAAACTTACTTCACAAAGGTAAGCCATTTCAGCGGCAAACAAACTTACAAGAAAAATTTGTTTTCATCTTATAAAAACATCGCCCAGCTGGGTAAGCTGTCAGGTCGACAGTGAGCTTTTTGTCATGCTCAAAGGCAACTTAGAGTCGAAATCTTACACTTACTCGCACCATCATGTGGTGAATCTCAACCGGGGGAGGCGGGGGGGCGGGGTACTCCTAGAAAAATTGGGMGGGGGTGTGCGGCCCGCTTCCCAAAACTCTTACCCTCTTTATTTCTCGCTTTGCCACCATTTCTTATCTCTCTCTAGTTTGCTTCACATAATTCAGTAATCATAGCTAGGAACTGCATATTCGATTAAAGGTTTGTGT